CCACAAAGTTTACAAGGGTTCTTTACAAACATGCACAAAAACTATCATATATATGTCTTTGGTTGATGAGTGCCAAGAGAGCAAAGAAGGGAAGAGATTGTCAAAGCGTTAAAACACGCCAACGCCAGGGAACGGATGGCATTGTCCGGGCGTTAAAACACGCCCGCGCCAGTCAAAGAGTTAACTGAAAACAACTGAACTCGGCGACGGCCACATTTCAACTCGCTTCGTAGGCAGTGTGGTTCACTTATATAGTTGCAGCGCTTGCCTGTTACGCAATGGGTACTGCTGTTGCCTGATGTCGTGTCGACAGCGGTGTTGCGTGCCATGTCACAGTGCGGAGGGGGCGGGGGATGGAGTGCTGACTCACCCGCCACGTCACTGCTGGGTAGGGAGGGGTTGTCCTCCATTGCGCAACATGTCACCGTATGTCACGTGTAAAACAGAAGACTTGTACGCTATTCTTTCAGGTTCTGACAGGAGATGCAGGAGAGGACCCAGAGTGTCACGCAGCCAAGTTGCTAGAAGTTATCATCTTGCAGTGTAAGGGGCGTATTGATCAGGTGATAGCAGCAAAATAATTCTTTATAGGAGTGTTGTAATGAATTATCTCTACTCTGTAGGTGACTTTTTTTTCAGACTTCATTAAAACATTGAATTGTGTTACAACTAAAATTGTCAAGAACATAAAATGATGTCCCATCATTCTAATATCTTCATACACTCACTTTTTAATGTTGGTTATCCAACAGTGTCATCAGTGTCGAGACTGTTATGTCAGATGACAGGATGATTAATGAATGTGGGGAAGTTTATGGAATGAGAATTTGCAGGGGGAAACTGAAACACTCGTAGAAAACCTGCCACCAGTGTGAGTTTGTCCACCCAGATCCAACATTGCTGACCTGGGATTGAATATGGGCTGCATATACTCTCTGTTTAGTTCTAGAATATCATCTGTGATAAGGATGCAGTAGCATAGTAGGTTGAGACACTTATGCTACAAGCCGGAAGGTCACAATTTCAATTCCCGATGAGGACATTGGATTTTTCAGTTCACCTAATCTTCCAGCAGCACTATGGCCCTGGGGTTGACTCACCCTCTGACAGAAATGAGTAGCAGGAATCTTCCTGGGGGTAAAGGGCAGTGGGCACATAAGGCTGACAACCTCACCACAAACTGTGAGCCAGTTGTCCAGGAAATGTGGGAGCCTTGACATCTCACAACCCTGTGGGCATCCGTGTCCTATTACAAGGATAGCTTTGCCTTGCCTTTAATATGGTGAGGAATTTTCCATATGTGAAGTAACATTCCTGTTCATTTGTAAATATTTGATGTAATAATTTCAGAAAAATGATTGTTTCAACAATTATTTGGTTTCTTTTCAGTGCATACCATCTTTCGTTGAGCTTGTTCTGCAGAGATTGACACGTGAAGTAAAAACGTCTGAATTGCGTACCATGTGCCTCCAAGTCGTTATAGCAGCATTGTATTATAATCCTCAGCTGCTCTTTGGAACACTGGAGAAATTACAGTTGGCTGTCTCTCCCACAGAGTCCATAACATCACATTTTATTAAGCAGTGGATTCATGACACAGATTGCTTCCTTGGGTAATTGTGTTAAATATCTCATTAGGGATAACTGGTTACTTTTTTTAGTTTTAGTTGTGAACCACCCGTTGCCTGACAGTACAGTTTTACAATAGATTCTGTTCAGTTGCCATTGCATATGAAGGATGAAGAAATTTGATGTGGCTAAAAGAGTATGACATTGTCATGTCCTCTTTATAGCTCTCTATATTTATGACAACTAAATGAAATGGTTTCATATAATGATAATAGGATGGACAGCTGAGGTTTGATTCCAATCAGGGTTAATAAATCTTTCTCTTCTCAATAACATGAAGACTGGCTCTGGGCATACCCAGCTGCCTGTCAAATGGGTACCAGGGGCATATTGATAGGGGTGTAAAGCTGACCACTCACCTCCATCTAGATCTAGCAGTGAGGTCGAGAATGGTGGAGTTGTACCTCTACTCCCCCCATATATCTTCATGGCATTGTTCTTAATTATTTATGCACCAGGACAACTTTAACTTTATATGAAGTGTAATTCTACTGGGAAGTTTGAAAATATTGACAGAACCTTGTATAAGTAAATCACAGAATGAAGTGCATAGTGTACCTGTTCTCAACATACAGCCATACTATCAGGTCTGCTGCTATATAATAGCTGAGAATAATTGTTACTGTCTTTATGATACGTAGGTACTGTGGACTTAAAGCAAGTGTCTCATTAATGTCTTATAGTGTTGAAAGTCATCATAAGTAAAGTGTCATATTTATGCCATTCCTATAATTTAAATAAAAATGGATGCAGAGAAGAGTCGTATTTAAGTTGTTTGGAAAGTTTGCTTTCTAGAAGTTGCAAATTTAGCATGGTTAGAATTAGAAGAAAAGTACAGGATTGTAACACATGCAAAGCCTGAAGAACAGACTTGATTTCCAGTGGTACACAAAGAATCTTTTTTCAGAAAGTGTGGAAATTATATCCTGAATATTTACTTAGTCTTCAGAAGTTAATAAAGTTGACATCACTTTATGTATGCAGCCATGTGCAGTTTCATGTGTACAAATGTTTTGTCTTTTACATTTTTATCTGTACATTCATAGGTGTGTATACATTCTTCAGTCCTTATGTTAACAGTTATGCGTTTCAGAACACTATATATTTACTGAAATATATTATGCAGTTTTATTATGTATAGCTGTGGGTAAAGTCAGCAAAAGAAACTTAAGTTGCTGTACTTATACTGTTGTTGTTTGTGTGTAGCCTCCATGACAGAAAGCTCTGTGTGCTTGGTCTGTGTACACTTGTGAACTCTGTTGTTCGCCCCGTTGCAGTGAATGAGTGTGCTGCACAGATCATACCATCACTCATCCTCCTGTTTGATGGTCTGAAGAGAGCATATATAGGTCAGTTATATTCAGATATGCATGTGAGAGCACAGTGATAGCCGAAACAGCCCTCCATTTTGTAACGCATACATCTCTATGTTGTAGCCAAGGCTCAAGAAGGGGAGGAAGAGGAAGAGGAAGAGGATGAATCTGACATTGATCAAGGTGTGTGTTAGATTAGTTACCATGTACAAACGTTATCTGTTTATTATATGTCACACACAGTATACCTGTATGGGAACTAAATGTGTTTTCAGGGACTCTGCCCAAAATGCGACAGAGGATTTCATAAGTTGTGAAAGATGCATTGTGCAGAAGTACAACATTCTGAGATCACAGGGTGCATACAGTTACCACTACCAATTTATTTCACCCACAGAAATTTATCATTTGTTGTCAGTTACCTAATCATATTGTAAATTCTGGTGTTTATTTTATAGTTTTAACACAGAATGTAAACAGATTTAAGTAACTAGAAAATGGATCTGCTGGGGTTTAGTTGGGAAAGCCATAGAGAGGCAGCCTTTTGTGATTGTAAACAGATGGGAAACAGTTTCTTGAGGATTGAGCAGATCCCCAATAATTGTCATTCATTTTGTCATTACTGAAGAAAACTATAATTAGGATTTCATAATCTGTACTCTTCACCAGATATTCTTAGTATGATCAAATTAAGGATGATGAGATGCTAGGGACAAATAACATGCATGTGAGTGATAAAAAATGCATGCAAAACCTTTGTTGGAATACCTGAGGGGAAGGGACCACTTACTTGAGATTGTAATATTAACATGGAACCAAGAGAAATGAACTATAGTAATAATGTGGACTGGATTTATCTGGTCCAGGATATGGTGGAATCATCTGAGCACAATAATAAACCTGAAGGTTCCATAAAAAGCTGGGAATATCTTGACAAGTGGAGAAGCTATTAGCTTCTCAAGCACTCTGTCCCATGGAATTAGTAATTTACAAATCAAGAGGTGTCAGATCATTGTTTCAAATATAAATTCATGTTGTGGTCTTAGTCTTCTCTCTTTCCTTCTTTTTGACCCAGCAGTAGACCCACAAGAGAGGCTCTTGAAGACCTTAAAATGTGAATTATAAAAATGGACTATAAATTGAATCTGCAAGTAAGAGTATACTGTGAGGGAACTTCTTTTGTTTTTTCAGTGGAAACACATATTGCTTTATATATATATACAGTAAAACTTGGTTATAGCAACATCGGTTTCTGTGACACCTTGTCTATTGCGTCAAATATTCAATGGTATGAACTAATTCCTCATAAAGCAACTGTTTTTATACCTTGCTTAGTACGACATGCACAAATGCATCAACCTCGTATGTAACGTCATTTTCATTCCTGAATTTCTCTGATATCGTGGGAAAGTTCGATGTGTCTGCCCACCCTCACTTTCTCTACTTGCTGACGTGACTGTCCTGGAAGAATACGACCGCGGGCTGCAAGAGGAGCGTGGGTTTTATGCGAAAACAAGGGTGTGGGGTGGGACTGCGTGAATAGTGCAAGAGGACGCGGCAGGTTGTTAACTGCATTCCTTTCATAGAATCTTGTCTAACAGGACCTCACATTGTCTACTTACCCTATTGTTTTCCTGCCTAAACCCAGAGAAGTGCAGTAGCGAAAACAAGGCAATGAAAAGGAAAGTTTTAAGCATTGAAGAGAAAGTTAAAGTGATTCGT